CAGCAGGGCAGATCAACTCCTCAGATTAATTTGGTGCAAAAGGTGGGGAAAAGTAAGATAAAAAAAGCTTTTTATTGATTTCCTGATGCATCTCAGTAATCCAGGTAAAAAATCAAAAAGAAAAAAAAAGTATAGGTCTTCCGGACGGGTTCTTCTCACATGGAGGCAGGGCTTAAAAGCCTGAATTTTGCCTGAAACTCTCAGACTGAAGAAGTCTTGGAGGAGAGACGAAACGTTTCATTAGAGAAGAACCCGTCCAGAAGACCTATACTATTTTTTTCTTTTTGATTTTTTACCTGGATTACTGAGATGCATCAGGACTTTCTGTATAAATGTTCTTTCCATAAAATATTTTATTCGTACAATCATGTCTTTATCTATAGCAACATTACTATTTAATTTTGAGTGTCAAGACATCCGTCACACATCACCTCTTAGAAACAACAGTATATAAACAAATGGAAAAAGAAAGAAAGAAAAAAAAAAGAATCTTTGAGTCTGAGTCCGTCTCTCGTGTTTCTGCAGTTCTCTCTGTACACCTGGTGGGTCGCTCTGTCTGCCAGTGATGAGCCAATAGAAGTATTGCTGGTCCTGGTGGGGGTGTGGGGGTGTGTGATTGGGACTGGGCCTCTGCTGGAGAGACGCTGCATGACAGAACCTGGCCGACGCCACGAGTGGGCTTCACGCCGGCCCGTTGACTGCTTGGTCTGAGGCGACGGAAGTGTGGTCCAACCTGCAGCACAGAAGAGCAGCTTCCTCTGAAAACGGTGGTCTCTGGACCGTTAGATAAGTGTGCAGCAGCTGTTAGACTTACGCAGCCTCCTCTATGCTGGACACTTCATTTAGAGGACCATTAGGAAGATCCACCACGGCCCGGCAGCTCTCACTGCCAACAAACAAACAAAACACAAATAAATACAATGAGCGGTGGGTTAGATCAGGCATGGGTGGTCCTGGTCCTGGAGGGCTGCAGCCCTGCATGGTTTACTTGTTTCTCTGCTCCAACACACCTGATATGAATGAATATATGATTTTCAGGTTTCTGCAGTACGGAGGACCAAAACTGACATAAGTAGAAATAAAAGCAGAATTATATGAACCATTAAATAAATACACTTAAAATGCACTAATTAAA